TGATTTTGTCTTCATTTATTTCATTTACTAGTTATGATTAGTTACATTATGTTCTATTAAGCTTTGTATTAACACTTTTCATATGAATAATCTTTTCCTATTAACCGATGTTTCATATGTTGAACATTTCGTAGGCATGATGAAATGAAGAGACAAGAGAAAAAAAGAAACAGTTGTTAGATTTGATCATGCAATTCCTCTTATATAGCATTCAGATGTTGAGAATGTATTAAATATAACTCATTGGTTTAACATGTATGATTAGATGGTAGAGTTTAATAACTCCTTTAACCGGAGGAAAGTTTTAAGCCAAAAAATAATAAATTTTTCGTACTTCGCACAATCAAGGTTGCACTTCCATTATCATATACAATTCCAAGGTTTGACACATTTTCTGATACTAAATATTAAATACTACAATGACCTCGTTCGAGTTTTTTACGCAAACCTCAAAATCATAGATCGGGCGTATATGTACATTGAGGTTAATAGGACAAGGATCAAAATGAAACCTACATATTGTTTCAGTTTGGATAATCTAAAATATGAAGATCATAAGCTATTATTTCTTACTATCTCTGAAGACGTACAATATGATCAGAAAATAACATTAACCTCTATGGTTAGAACACAGGTCCAAGGTCACAATGTGAGCAATGTAGGAATGCTGCAAATTAATGAGAGACTCATACATTACGTCCTTATTTATATTTTGACTCCTCGTGCCACAAACTTAGTAAAACTGATGTAAAAAGATATTTTTATGTTGTCGACATTGAAATTTTTTTTCTTTTATTAATTGGTCGTATTATATTATGCAATACAAGTTGAAATACATGAATAATAACATGCATTTTCTATACGTGATTTTCATAACACACATAATGGTTCACAATGGCTTGGATTTTATTTTTGATTCCTCCATTGTCTTGGGTTGAACACATTATTTTGGTAGAAGAATGTTCAATAAATTAAATATTGTTAACTTCAACAACATATGACAAAATGTAAGGGTAAACCAATAAGATCAAAATGATGATGATGATGAAGATTTTGTAATACTCAATGATAACGCAACCAACATTGGACTACAAGATTTTGCCCACCATGAATCGATCTAGCCAGATGCAATCCTCCATGATGATCAAATGTTAACACAAATTTAGATTATTTAGGACAAGCAAGTAAAAATACATCAAATAGAAGATGATTTAGCTAATTTGAACTTAATTTTAAACATAAGTTTCGATAGAGTCACTAAAAAAGTTAATTATTTGAAAGAATAATTTGACGATTTTCAAGACTCTTTTAAATAAATTTTATCATTTATTTATTTACTCAGTATTGGATGAAGTATGACCATTGAATTTTTACACCAATTTTAAATTTCATACACATTCTTAAAAATGTAAGATTCAAATGTATCATAGTATCTCACATCTCCATACAATAACAATGATATTAAATTTGTTATTTGAAAATATCTCCATTTCTCTGCGTTCTGTTTAAAGTTCATACTCATTCCCAAAAATTACATGTATGTACTCCTTGACGCAACAATTTGTCTCCTACCATCAAATCCTTTAAATTTGATTTCAAGATATAAAAATATAAGTTGTGAAAATTTACTATTTTAAATACCTTTTAATATCGATCAAAGTTTTTTAAGTTAATGATAATACATTTTTTAATTAATAATTAAATATCACAATTAATAACTATAGTTATGTTAAGAATTAAAATAAAGAATGAATCAATTAGATAATAATTGTTGTGAGTATTTGTTAGTTAATTTTTTTAAAATTAAATATATTTTTAAATTAATAATAATAATAACAAAATCTAATGTAAAGGTTTTAAGAACATACAAGAGACACAACATAATTTGTGTTGTTTAGCATGGCTGGGTGAATTCCTTTCCACAAACAAACAAAATTTTGGACGAACAACTTTAACACCAGGTCAACCAAACAAAATTTTGTTTAAAAACAGAATTTATTTTAATTTACCATCAACCAAAAACCCTAACTCGTTCATCATTAATGTAATGTGCCACCTTTCTCAGACCCTGTTGACCTATAATTTAAAAATCATTGTTGGGAGTCTCAACAACTTTCAGAGATGTTCAAAAAACAGTAGTTAACTTCATTGGATTGCGTAAAAATTTTGATTCTATCAAACACAGAGATTGATTATAGAACAAGTTTATGAAGTCACCCTGAATATTTTACATGAAAAAAATATTGGGGCAGAGACTTTATTGGACAATTTTGTACTGTATTGGGGAGTGGCAGAGCAAAGGTTGGACTGACTCATACGTCAACACAAAAAACAGAGTTGGTCACATGTGACTGCACAAAGCACAAGGAAGAGCATGGGTGCGCGTGTGTGGGTTCAAAAAGGTAAACGCATTCACGAGAATTAGGGTGGGTGACCATCGAAATTAGGGTATCCAATCCAACCACCCTTAATAATAGTGGATGAAATAATAGGGTTTCACGTATATCACAAGTTCTAGGTTCAACCTTCATCCATCTCTTTATGGTAATATAAATAAGGCTATGTTTTCTTTTCCAATAAATCATTACAACCTAAAATAATATTATATAAATAATATTACATAATTATGTAATACTCTCTTTCAAAATATATAATATAGGTTATACAAAATATTATATACATAAATTTGTATTATTTTAATAAATTTATCAAATAATTTCATAACTTGAAACTAATTAAACCTAAATATAATGGTTGCTTTGTTAAAGAAAAAGAATAAAAATAAAAGTGATAATTAAAAAAAACTAAAAAATAAATTATACCTACCCAAATAAATAATTAGATAATTAATCGGGAGATTCATAACTCTTCCTAAAAAATTACGTACATATTTTTATATATATATGATGGTAATAAAAAATTTATAATTTTTAATATTATACATGTTTTGTTTAAGAAAAAAAAAATATATATATATATATATATATATATATATATATATATATATATATATAAATATTGGGGGTAGCCCAAGAAAGAAGCAAGCAGGCTTAACCTGCAGTCCTTTTCTCATGCATTGGAATACACGTTTGAGCGGCAACAAAACAGGCCAAAAACAGCAAACTTACATCTCTCTTCCGATAAAAGGTGATGCAGAATTTAAAATTGAATCCAAACAAAAGGGAAATACACTTCACACTACTTTCTTCACTTTCACATATTCCTCCGTTCTAATCAATTTCTTCCACGTTTTCAAATTAATTTCTACTTCAAATACCACTACAACTTTCTTATGTTTATCAAGATTCAACTATTTTAGTGAAACTTTTTACTCTTTCTTTAATTAGAGGAAAAATCTAAAGAGAGGAAAAGGTACTAAAGTTTGAATTAAACAAATAAAATTAAAAAAATAGTAAAAATGAAATTTAATTTTAATATATGAATATAAATTAAAGTTTAATAGCTAGAGACCATGATTCACTCATATAAACAAAATTATTTTTATTTTTATCATTTTTTTAATTTAATTATCTAAATAATTAAAAGATAATAGTTAAAATTAAGGGTGATTTTTTATTCACTCATATAAACATTTTGTTATCATTATTTTTTAATTTAATTATCTACACAATAACTCATTTGATTGAAAGATGATAGTTAAAATTAGGGGTGTTTAAAATTAAATAAATTAAAAAAATTAATAAATTTTTTTTTTTTAAATCAGTCAGGTGATTTTCAATTTAACACTCAATAACCAATATTAAAATTATAATATATATCGTTAAAGTTAAAATATGAAGTAACATTTATTATAAGTGAGTATATTAGCCTCTTAGAATTTAGGGTGTGTATTGATAAATTCAAATTAAATGTTAAAATATAAAAACAAATTAAAAATATAATTATAGATGTCATAATTAATTATGTATGATAATTTTATAATATATTTTTATTGAATAATTATTTTATTATAATATATTTAAAAAATTAAAAACCATAAAAAATATTTAGAATAAATCATAAAATATTAATTTTATTTGGTTCAATGGAGTTATATTTGAGTATTTGTTTACGAGAATAATTAAAATTTTATTTAATAAATTTAGTTTGGTTAAATATTTTTTATAAAAATAATTTAATAGTAAAATTTTGCATATTTTTTTTAACCAACCTAAACATTTTCTATTGTCGTTCCAATTCAGCATCACCATGCATTTGAGGAGTAGATAATGTATAATGTGAGAAATGCTAAAACCCTATTCTTTTTAATATACACCTTCTTATATTTGTTAAAAATAATTAAAAATATATTAGCTAAAATATTAAACTTACCAAATTTTATAAATTTTTATTATTTCTATTAGTTAAAAAGAAATGTGTTGTTCTCGTTTTTTATAGTAGTTCATGATGCATGTTAGAATACTTTCGTTTTAACTTTTAGCTCTAACACAGGTCAAAAGGCTACTCTAAGCACGATGGTTGTGATAAAGTATTGAATCTGTTACATGAATAAAGAATTTGATATACAAAATAAATTAAATCCTCAAAAACTGTGAGAAGAACATGCAAATGATTAATATTTTTTAATTAAAAAAATGTGCAGCTTTAAAATTCTTTCTGAGTATCCTTTTTCTGTGACTTTGTCTTGGGATATTTCACAGGACCAAACAAAAGCATCATGAGATACCCCTCTCTTCTTTCCCTTTCAATTTTCACCTTACTCATTGTTTCTCACACCCTCACCTCTTTGTCCCTCTGCTTTTCACTGTGAAACTTCTTTATCTCCCTTCCCTTCTTTTTACCATCACCACCTCACTTTGCTTTCATTCTCCATATCCCATCAACTTCACTTTTTCCCTTCCCTCTCTCTCACATCACACATTCTCCTCTTTTTAAATCCTTCACCTCCAACTCTGAGAGCCACAACCATAAGCCTGTTCCTTGTTCAATCATCACTCAACACACACTCCTTCACTTGACAAACACTTTGTGTAGCTCCAATGGAAGTGAGTCATAATAAGTCTTTGTATTATTCTTCTATTGTTCTACTTATATTTTGTTATGTTACTTGTTTATTCAACTTTCATGTTTGAGTTATTCATAGTTTTGTATTGTATATTATTCTCACTTGGTGTATGTTTTGATGTAAGTTCTTAAGCTTAAGTTAAGGTTAAACTTATACATGAAAACTCAGTTTATAAAATATAGGGTTTAACTTATACATGAAATCTGAGTTTTTAGACAAATTTCAACGTTTAAATATATGTTGATTTCTCATGTGTAGGAATATTACTACAAGAGGCATCATGTGCCTGCATTTGGGAGCTGGGATTGGAATGATAATCTTCCCTTCACTCAGTGCTTTGAGTCTGCAAGACAAGCTGGTTTGTTAAGATATAGTTATTCTGAGTCTGAAGATAGAGATCTTTATGTCACTGGGGACTTGTATGAGAATGATGTTGTCACACCTGCTATGATCGTTGTTCCTCGCAGAAGGGTATGCATATGCCTCTAAATTCTTCTTTTCTTTCTGAAATTTTCCATAGTTTTTTTGTTCTTTGATAAACTTCTTAGATCAACCTTTTTCACAGTATATGCACCCAAACATTTTATATAAGCTCTCTCATCTAATTTCTATAATAGCTGAAATGGACAATTTGATGTTTTCTGATTAGAAATTTCATTCATTGTTAATGTTTTCTGAGGACAATATTTGGAAGGGACAACATTAGGCGTTTGTTTGTCGTGTATTTTTATGTATTTTTTGTTAGAACGTGAGTTTCATTTGGATCATTTTGTGCAGAAACTTTTCCACTAAAGTTAAAACACCTTACCAAGGAGAAGTTTTAATTTTGATAGGGGAAAAACACATTGAATTTTTCAATATTTAGGGTAAGTTAATCTTTACTTGTATGAGTCATTCACGTTAATAGGCGATTATCAAAGAGACACTCAAGTATTGTTCTGTAATTAAACTGTTTATAGGCACTAATTAATTTACCCCCACTAATAAGGTTCATTGTCTTTTGAGTCTTTTTTGTTATCTTGTGTTAGGTTGTGCTTAATCATGATAAAGGGTCTTCTAATTTAGATTTTAATTTTGTAAAACGAAGTTCGGTGCATCAAAAGAAGATGCAAATTTATGACTAGAAAACGAAGTTCCAATGTTCCGTGCATATCCTAAAGATAGGGTTAGGCCATGAGGGTGGAAAATTAAAACAACTTTGTCTTCTTTCTGTATGACACTTCTTTCTACTTTATGGACACACTTTATTGTGGACCCTACTATATTGAATGGCATTCATGATTCATGCCACAGGGTGAGAAATTATTAAAACGTAAACTTTTCAAGATAACATAGATTGTTGGGGAAGTTGTATATCTCACAATGATTAACAATTTTATATTGATATTCTTTATAATAAAGTATGATTATAAAGGACTTAGTGCAACTTTAGGCCTTTTTGTCCATCTCATTTGGTCACTAAAAACACAGACAATGGGATCCATAATCCATTGGTGTCATTCCAAGGTAATAAAGTAATCAAAGTTGAAATTTCCAATGTAATGATGAGCAATGAATCATACAATGCTAGGTAGACATTAATGTGTAACATGTAAATTCAAAGGTAGCTTTTTTTTTTTTTTTTGTCTGATGGGGTTCTTAATTTGTTGCTGACATTGTAGGAAAAGGCACGTTGCCAGCATGAAAAAGAAGCAAAAAAACAGAGTTGGGTGAGTAATGTGAGGGAGCTACCTAGCCCAACTAGTCCAATTCCAAGACCAAAACCAAAGCCTGTGGATGAGGATTTGTACAAGATCTCACCAGAGCTACTTTATGCCAAAACTAGGAAGGTCTTAATTCTTTAACCCCTACACATTTTGGTTGAGCTTCATTACTGTCATAATAATGTCAAATTCATTGCATGTTCAAAACCTTTTCCTTTTGCATCTTTAGCAAAAGTTTTGACAAATTTCCTTTCGTGATTGTTATTTATCTTCTGCTTTTGTAGAATGCAGATGAGAGAGGGTTGTGTTTGTTGTCCACTAAGCTCACTTTTTTGTTGAGCTTTACTTTCACAATGTCATAAATTCATTGCATATTCAAAACCTTTTCCTTTTGCATCTTTAGCAAAAGTTTAACAACCTTCCTTTGTCTAATTGTTATTTTATTGTACCTTCTGCTTTGGCCGAATGCAGAAGAGATGGTTGTGTTTCACTCCACCAATCTCACATTTTTGCTCAGCTTTACTTTCATGATGTCAAAGTTTCATTTTCAAACCTTTTTCTTTTGCATCTTTAACAAAAGTGTTGACAAATTTCCTTTTCTAATTGGTATCTTACCTTCTGCTTTTGTTGAATGCAGAAGAGAGGGTTGTGTTTCTTTCCAAGCTGTTTGATACCAACATGCATTGCCTGAGATTGAAGGAAACTTGAGGAGCCATTGTACATACAAGTGAAATAGAGAACAGATACTAAATTGGATGATATTTATTCAAAAAGGGACCAAAAAGATTGTATCATTATATATAGTCACATGATTATTGTGGCAAGGTCTTTGTTGTTTAATTATTCTTTGGACTTTAGCTTTGGTTTTTGTTGGGGTGTTTTTAATTAGTTTTTTTCTATGTACTTTAGGGTGAAATCATTGTTAGGACTTGAACTTTGGTTGCAAAAACTCTGAACCAGAAGTTTAAAGATAATTTTTTTTGTTCCTATCATATGAGGACTGAATGATGAATATTCTTCTCATGGATTATCTTTGTAGGTTGTTAATTTAGAGTTAATTATGAGAAAAACTAGAGCCCCCCCAAATACTAAAATTGAATAATTTTTGCACCTAATGGTGTTTATAGGTTATTAATTCAATTAATGAAAAATAATTTTCTCTTTTGACTCTAGAATTTATGGAAATGGGATTTGATATCGACTTACTGTAAAGATTGGTATTGTTGAATCAAAATAATAGATTTCTTAGGTGAAAAAAAAGAGTGTGATGTATGAGTTACATTTCTTATTAAGTAGAAATAAATAAAAAAGTTATATCCAATAAAAATGAAAAAATTAAATATTTTAAAAATAAAAAATTATAATATATTGTAATAAAATTTTATGTTAAAGTAGTATTATAGGTCAAATTATTGAATTATAATTTAAATGGTCAAATTATTTATATTCGCATATATTTAAGAAGTATATATGTATAGAGAGAGTTCATACTAATTTTGTTATTAATTAACTTTATAAGAATATGAGAAACAATATAATATTAATTTGAACAAATATAATATTATTGATGACAATATTAAAATAGTGTTTGGTTTTTACTATTTATATATATAAACTTAAAATAAATATATTCATATTTCTTTATATGTTAAAAAAATTAATGAAAAACATAAGACAAACAATACCTAATCCTTAATTGAAATTATATGACTATTCAGGACTTCGCAAAAGTTTACGTATTAAAGCTACAACTCTACTTTTATAATTGTAACCAAAAAATGGGATTTTACATTTAAGGTTACAACATACAATAAAGTATTTATTCATCTAACTATTTTCTATTTCTGTTAGAATTGAACAAAACCTACGAATTCATGAAAGACACTTTTGTTGAAAATTTTCTTTTAGTATTTTCATGTTTGTTTAAAAATAATAGTAATATTGTATTTTACTCTACGACATACAAGCATTTTTTTAATGTTAAAAATATACTTAAAATATGCTATTTATATTTTGATATTTAATACATAAAAGTATTGATAATTTTTATTATCAAGTTGTCGTGATTTTATATTTTTGGTAATATTTTGTTTGCAAATTGTATCTAGGCCGTTTCTTCCTCGCATGCTTTTTTATTTCACTCTCTTATTTATATAAAATGATAATATTATCCTAATGTAAATATCTTTTGAAAAACTTATTGTAGAAATTAGTTTGGGATTGTTTTTTTTTTTTTGGGTTTTGAAGTGTATTTTTTGAAAATATATTTTGAAAAACTGATTTTTAAATATTTTTTGAATTTTTTACAAAATTTTTAGAATATATTTTTATAAAATATAATCTAAGAATGAGTACTAGATTATATTTTTTTTGAATTTATGTTTAAATTATATTTTTTTAAATTATATTTTGGATTCAATAATTTTAAATTTATTTTTAAATTGTGTTTTTGATAATATATTTTTAGAAAATATAATATAAAAATGAATTCCAAATTTTTAAATTCGAAATATAATTTTAGAAAATACAATTTGAAAATAATTTTTATATTAATTTATTTAGAACTTATTTTTATATTGTGTTTTTTTTAGAAGTGTATTTCGATTCAACAATGTTGAACACTACAAATATAAATTAAATATTTCTTCGTCCATTCCTATTTCATGGGTTGAGTCCATCACTATTCACTTCAGGCCCAAATAGCTTTTGAAAAGTCTCCATAGAATTATCATGAAGAATGTAAATGTTAGAAATATTTGTTTCACCATTTCATTCTTTTCAATTTGTGAAATTTAGTTTACATTGTTCGAAACGGATATCTAAACATGTTTAATAATCCCAACTTAATTTTTTTTTCAATTTTAATACATTGATTTATGTTCCAGATATTTTATTTTGTAGATATATTTTTTTTAGTTCTTAATCCCTAATAGTATTTTTTTTTCAAATAGTTGTTGGATTAAATAATAAATTATTTAATATATACTGAAATTATTAGATTTGGTTTAAATAAATTATTCTCTATCTTATAAAAATGTTAATGGCGTTATTAAGTTTTGTATATAGAATAAATTGTTTTTGTAATAGTACTTAAATTTATTTAACTAATATTATTATTTATATATAATAAAAACTTTTACTCCATTTTCCGTTTTTAATTTAAAATAGCTTTTAAGGTTTAAAAAAAAAGTGAATCATCATAACCCAAAGTTTCAAAATAAAAATAGAACGTTAATTTTTTTTCTTGAAAAAAAGGCTCAATCTCTTTGAATAAAGTTTCAGATTTTGGATAAGTTGCAACTAAAACTTTCACTTTTTTAAGTTGATTTAATCTTTTTTTACGTCAAAGTTCATTAATTTTTTGTTATAGTACATAATCTTTTACATGAAAGGTGAGAAAGAATAATTTTGACAATAATTATAAAAAAAACATTAAATATAAGTAATTTGGTGTGACTTTATATAAATATTATTTTTTATTATTAAAATATTATATAAATATAAGCAAATTATTTTGATCATGATATACCTAATTTTATTTTATAAAATCAGTTTGATAACCTAAAGATTATACTCTATTATATATTATTCAGAACGAGATATAAAAATTTCTTTGGGTGTGATGAAAAATCTTTACTCTCGTCACAAAACAAATTGATGAGACATGCACTCCTCGTGACAAAGAAGAATGACACTAAGAAAGTGGTAATCACATGTTTAATGATAAATGTGATCAAAGTGAAGGGTGCCCCAAATCAAGAAACAATGATGAAGCTTCCATGTCCAGTTTGCAGCAGTGGAAAACCATGTGTTGGAATGGCCCATTGTGATTCACTGTGCAATAGAAAAATCTAATATTTTTGATGTATTAAGGTATGGTTCATAAGTGGACCTAAATAATGATCCTTAGTGTTGTGAGGAGTAGAAGCAAAAACAGCAAAGAGTTGAGCAAACCCCCAATTATTTATTGCCAAAATGTTGCCTTTCCTAACTCCCAAATGCCCATCCATGCCCCCTCTCTGTCATTCACTCATTGCCTTTTAGTAAAGCAAAAAATATATAATAATCATTTTTTTTTCTTCATTCAAAGTTTCATCCTTTTAGCATCTAATTTGATGCTCCTTTATTTTTTGGGTGATAAAATTTTAAATTTTTATTCAATACTCAATTTTAGATTATTTTATTTTAGTCTAATTAAATTGTAAACATAATATATTTATTTTGTGTTTAGGGTGTAGGAGATAAAATTTAATTAATTAAACTATAAAAAAAAATCAAAATTAAAAACTTTCCTTTTTTAACTTTCTTAGTATCCAACTTCTAAAATCATAAATTTTTAAGTTATAAAGTGTATTATTAAATGGGGTGAAGTTGTTTGATTTCAAGTTTGAGTCTTGAGTATACAAATTACATCAAATTCTTAGCAGAAGAATATCAATGTTCATGTTAGAACAAAATTATCTCTTGTGAATACACATGTTTTATTGAACAAAATGAATTACAAAACATAATTTTCTAACCTTTTTTTTTTTAGATTCTCACACTTTTTCTAAAGCTATCATTGTATAGAAAAAGGACTTATATTGAAGAAAATAACTAGTAGATGGTTAACCAATAAAAGTTCTTAAAATAACACAACTATATAAACATGTTTTTGCTCTAGGACTTAAAGCTTTAGATATTAAAATTTAACTAATTTTTAAACGTAAAGACCAAAAGTTGTGATTATAAAAGTAGAAGGCTAAAATAAAAAAGCACCCACTTTTGGGGGATGAAAAAGACTATTAATCCTTCCAAAAAAAAAAAAAAGATTGAAAATTTTAAGTGAACAAGCCAAACACTGCACACCACCAACTTGGATTTTAAAACAATGCCTTTATCCTACACAAGACCCACAATGTCACATTTGGTTTGGTCCACCCCTTCTCCTAAATTGAAGGTTTAACTTTTTTGTTTTTTGTGAAAAAAACAAACATGGGTACATAAGTTCCTCTAACATCAAGCCATGTGTATTGTAATTAGTTTATATATACTTTTAAAAAATTATTTGTATATCTTTGTACCCTTTATTGATTAGTGTTGAAAGTCTCACATCAGCCTACCGTCATGTCATTTGGTATGGTTTAAATACATGTTAGGTTAATCCACATATTGCTAATTGGTTTTATGTTGGAACCTTAACATGAGTATCGAGCCAAAGCTTAACATCTTTCAGGTTATTGTCATAGGCCAAAAAATTACCCTTTAGTTGGGTCAAAGTCACTTTGCTCTGATCCGCAGTCTTCGTTGGAGGGTGTGTTGAAAGTCCCACATCGCCTACCTCATGTTATTTGGTATGGTTTAAATACATGTTAGGCTAATCCACATATTGTCAATTTTTATGTTGGAACCTTAACAGTTAGTTTCTAACCCAAACATAATTTTTTTGTATGTTCTTAAGCATAAAAATTGTTCCTTTCAATCATTAAGTGAATATTTTTGTTCTGTTTTTTTTTTTTAATCGTCCAAAATTATTGGAGCCAAAATGAACTAGACTAATTGTAAAACACTAAAACAAATTAAAAAAAGGTGCTTAAAAAATTATAATGATTAATTTTTAAATGTAGTGTGGGTATTATTATCCCTAACTAAATCACTAATTGAACATTTAAAAAGGAATCAACCTCAAAAAGAGATAAAGATGATAGAATA